AGTATTACATTGCTCGAGGCACGAATTAAATCGAAATGACGGCCTAAAAATATTAGGCCACAATCAGGAGTTAAACCTGGGACCTCAATATAAAATTTTTAGTGTGTTTATTCGTTAAAAGAACGCTTTACAATTCTGACATTTGGAGCCAGTAAAAAATACCTATCAGAGTTCCCAGCTCTTCTAAAAGAAATTTTATACAATTTTTTTTGCACCCAACCTGACTATGGTCTACTCCATCATAAATGCAACGAGGCAGCTGATTAACAGCTTAATTTGTGCTGATTCCACCAATTAAAACTCCCAGAAGTGTAGACTTTAAAAGCCAGTATGGATGTAGCCCAACAACTTGAAATTTTTTAATCCGATTCAGTTTGAGTATGCATTGTTTGCATCACGATTGCTTTAATTAAATCAAAAGCTGAAAACGGGGAAATAAAATCGGCAAACACTTTAAAATTCGTGCTAAAAATTACCTTTATTTCAATGTCTTGAATAAAATTTATGCAAAATAAATTAAAAAAAAAGCTTTTGTTTTCCTTCTATATTTTCCGATTTGTGTGTCCAAAAACGTCTACACAAAAAGAAATTAAAATACTTAACGTTTTTGTACATAAATGAATGAATGAAGCCTTTATTTCAAAAAACCAAGTTCTTACACCTAATAACTAAATCTTCTGAATTTACATATTTTGATATTAATATTATAATCAATCTTCCTCGGTGTTTGCTTGTCTTCCGACATAAAATGGCCTATTTTATGTCGGACCCTGATAAGGGGTGTCCACCCCAAAAATAACATTTTTATTTTTTAGACAATTTTTTTTTGTTTTTATTTTTTTATGATACAGCATACATACAACTCCTTATTTTCACCCCTCTACGATCAACCCCTATTTTTTATTATACATAGTAGATAGTTATTTTTATTGGACTAATAAAATGTTTCCTAGAAATAATATACATGGCAAAACAACGTTCGCCGGGTCAGCTTATTATAAAATAAGCAGATATTTTTAAACTTTTATACCTACACAAAGATTATGTTTGGGTCACCAATGAGGGTCTTACTAAAGTATATTCATTATATTAGTACAATGTAATAATTTAGCAAGTATACTCAAGTTTCAAAGTTTAAGATAAAGAGCTTAATTTATATCCCCTTATTCCGGCAATTAACTTCCAAACTTTACTTTGATCTTTTTTGAGCTTTTACCGTGAAAATGCCTTTGATTTTTTTAGTATGGTATAACGTTTCATTTAATTATTCTACTAATGGAACTATAAAAAGAGAATACTTATTTTTATTAACCACATCATATGCTATATCTACAGTATATGTTATAGCTATCTAAAATATAGGACAATTATATCACTTAACAATAATTTTGTTTAAATTGATCAGCCCACTACCGAATATGTCAAGCTCTGGACATCCGCAAAGAATTCAAATGAGAGGTGCTTGAACTCCTAGTTTTTGCATACAGATATGGAATATTATTCTGATTTTAAACATATTTTTGTTAAATTACTCATGAATTAAAACCATCATTACATAATTTAGGGTCTTAATAAATTTTTAGGAAGGTAATAGAATATGAATTGATTTTTGATTTAGCCAGACTTTTCAATTAAGTCACAACTAACGTTGGTTAAATGCTATGTTAAACTGAATCTACTTTTAAATTTAATAATAAGATTTATTTTAATAAAACACTATTTTGACCGGATTGAAGTTATGTATTATTATAAATTTACAACTATTTAACATAATTTTAAATTTATCCGACGTTTCGCGTGCTTTACAGCGTGCGTGGTCACGGTGACATAATGCATAACTTCAATCCGGTCAAAATAGTGTTTTATGAAATGAATAAAAGTTATGTTAATCAAAGACAATACTAAGATTTATTTTAGTTTAAACATTTTGCCAAAACTATTAGTACTAGCCTAACCAAGTTTTAACGTCCTTTGCAAGTCTAGATAAAATGTTTTCTAGAGACGTTTTGTTATAACTCTTTGGTGGCATTTATGGTAAAAATTTGAACGAACCTAGTACTATCAACTTCTAACTGAATTGTGTGATTTATAAGTAAGAGCGGAGTTTCCCAAATCAGACTCAGAAATATTTGGTTTTAGTATTACTAAAACCAAATAGCTAATGAATTCTTATTTGATTTAACATCTATATAGCCCATCAACACAGTAATTGAGATTTTTGTATTATAAATAACATTACCAATAACACACGGCGTATACTTTGTAGTTATAAATCATAATAAATACTTAAGGCCCAAAGCCCCAGCTCAACGTAAGCAGAACTTAACTAATGTGTTGTCTCCACAGATTAGTATAAGTCAGCTAACTTATGCGATCTCAGTAATCCGAGATAACTTAATTGAAGTAGGGGATACTTGTTTGTGGATTAAGTAACCATTTTTATTTATAAGTTGTGTACGTTCATAGGTTTTTTTTTTCATTAATAAGCTCCAAATCAGTTCAATTGTGTGAAAACCTACTTTTCTATGTGTAAATTTTGACCAATTCAGGCATTTTCTACGTTTATGAACAGTAGCGTATATTAATGAATGACCACGCCTTGTTTGTTTTTAATGTGACACAATTGGTTAAAAATAATTATTTTATTCATCAGACAATACAGTCTATATAGATGTGATGATTTAACCATGTTCATGGTTTGATAATAAGATGATATTTAAAAAAAACTTTTTATATAAAGCTGTGTCAAAGCTCATATTTATAAGACATAATTAATATTAATTATGACTCACAATACAGCGAGAAAATGCTTCCAGCAAAAGGAACACACAGGGACCAAGCATTTTCAATATATTTTACTTTTCTTTTTATTCATTTTTAATTATTATTACTATGTTAAGAATATTGTGAATATTCTATATTTGTTTATAACTGTATTAATTACATATTCCCCACATGTTCTTATATCTTCCAATATTCTGTGCAATAATAATTGTTTAATACATAAGTGAAGTAGTGGTGTTATCCACGTCCCGACAATAAACTCCTTGCGTGAGGAGAATGCCTGATTGGTGACCGAAATTGAGGTTGACAGATGCTTAGGAGATAGAGAACTAATCAGCTATTAAGTTGGATCAATACAAGTATAAGTAGCAGTGTTGACCTAGTGGCTTCAGCGTGCGACGCTCATCACTGAGGTTGTAGGTTCGATCCCCGGCTGTGCACCAATGGACTTTCTTTCTATGTGCGCATTTAACATTAGCTCGAACGGTGAAAGAAAATCGTGAAGAAAGTGACATATCTTAGTCGACGGCGTGTGTCAGGCACTGGAGGCTGATCACCTTCTTGCCTATTAGATTTAAAAATGATCATTAAAACAGATTCAGAAATCTGAGGCCCAGACCTAAAGTGTTTGTAGCGCCAATGATTTTTTTTTCAATACAAGTATTAATAAAACCTTTATGCGGATAGAAGGAATTAACAACAGATTTGGTAAAGCCAGTCCAGTTATTTTAATACAGCAGAGCCTATTGGTTTCAACGTGCGACTCTCATCCCCAAAGTCATAGGTTCGATTCCTGGCTAACCAAAGAACTTTGAAATAAATAACTGATCACGAAACGGATACAGAAATCTGAGCCCAAGACCTAAAGGGTTGATGTGCCACTGGAGTTTTTTATTAAGTAAATAGCTAAACGCATATATACTATATAGAGTATATAAAATATTCTCGTTCTACTCGCAAGGCAAACACCTAAATATAAATGTTCATTTTAACTCAAAAAACGGAAGAAAATCTTTATATACATAATTGAATTGCGATCTTGTTGATTGAGGTGTCAGAAACTGAAATGGTATTATAAAAATTCAAATAGATTGCATCCAATCTTCAAAGAGAACGCAAACAATAAAAGCTCTTTGCCTGAGGGCATTCTTTCCGCAATTCGGGGTCAATAAATTAGATATCCCAACTGTGTACAATAGACATTGGTCCTAATTTGGTACATAAGCAAGCGTTGAGAAGTTTAGCGTGCATATATATGAAGTCTTATAATTAATATTTGGCATTTGCTAGCGTGGCTAATAAATGTACTAAAAGTATGATGAAAACCTGTTTTATATGAATTTGTCGAGCTCCTAAAGAAGATTGCTATGGTTACATTTATACAAACCACAGTTTTCAAATGTAACATGTCATGATTTTATTCTATTATTCTGGAAAATAAATTTCAGTGTAAACAAATAAATATTCAGTACATAATAATCAATCATGATGTGTTCATGCAATATCTTTTTTTACATTTTAAATTATATTTTATTATATTATATTCTCTTAAAAGCCGAACGATCTTTTATATCTTTAAATAATTGTTAATATTATTTCAATAAAAATAGTTTTATGTTTTTTTTTTCAATGTAGCTTTATAATGAAATTTTTTTTTATATTACAGTATTTTTTTAGTTTATCTCTTACAAATTACAAATATTTCCGCTGTATAATATTATTATTTAATTATGTTTGATAAGACTATTATCAAAACAATAAAACTGTTTCCTTAGATTTTATTGTCTTGGAAATAGCATTCCTTTCCGGCCATTTTGTGTGATACATAAAATTCCACATTTAGTTTTGTTATTTATATTTGAACTAATAACACGATAGCCACACTCCGAGTAATTAATTTATAATTAACAGTTACTCAAGTAAATATTTAAATAAGCCCACTATTATAAAACTAAAATCTCCTTACTTCCCTTTCTTTATCTTTCGTAGCTGTATTGAGGCTGGTTTTTTATAATAACTAATTTTAATTTATTTGCAATAAAGCTATTTTAGAGCATATCTTTTTAATTAAAAAAATACGAAATGATTGCTACAGTTAAACAATTGTTACAATAATAACTCCTAAATAATCATAAATTACAATTAAAAAATTACATTCATCAAAAATTCAATACACTTCCTAGATAACTTAAAATTCAAAAAAGTTTGCACATAGGATGGGGCAAACGGATCAGTGTCTACCGACTTGTAACCTGGAATCAAACCCAGAGTGGGTTTAGTAATCTTCTGTATACAAGTCAAACAGACAGTGCACTCTGCCACCGGAAATACGTAATGATCGACATCCGGTCTAACGTTTTATAGTTTACCGCATTTTAATTACATGCTTACACGCGCAATACCACATTTGACTTATATTGGAGAAGTCCTTTTTCAAATTCAAATTCAAAAATCATTTATTCACGTAGGTAACACAATGTACACTTGTGATTCGTCATTAAAGAAATACATATTAATGCTTCTTATTTTACATTTACTGCCAGTTCACAAATCAAGGGCGTAGAACGGAAGAGAAGAACTGGCAATAAACTCTTCGCCACTCTTTTTAATCGCCATGTTTTTTTTTTTACACAACGTTTGTAAGGAGCTTCAACCATTTCACCATGTTGCACATGACATCTTAAGTAATAAATAATAATAACATAAATTAAAAACAAAGACTTGTCCTCTATCAGCAGGAGGCATGGTGAAATAGGAGCACGCACTTACATTCTCGTGGGAACAACACGCAAACACATAGTCGAAATAATTAACATCACCGCATACACAAATTCAAGTACGACCCGTGAAGTATCACCCGTTCACGAGTATGACGCATGGCCAGCCATCGGCCCCCTCGCCATATTTTAGGGAGAGAGACAACCCGACGCATGGACGCCGCCACAAGCAATGACATTTAAGCGAGCATGACGATCCTTGAAATGTGGACTTGGCTACATAAGAAAATAATAATAATACTGAAATAATTTGATACCACATGGATCACGGTTTGTTCCCACTTTACATTAAAACAGTCGTGGATGTTGACGATCGCCCCGGAGTCTGGAAATGCAGCCGAGAAATTCAGTCGCGTTACCTATTTATACTGGAGCAACTTATATCCAAGCACTAGGATCGTTTAAATATTCATTTATATTATAATAGGCCTTAGCAAGCAGTTTTGAACTTGTCACACTTGTTGCACTTGTCATTGGTCAATCAGAATTTTATGATTCCAAGATGGACTCTTAACTACGTAAGACGTGGCTTCGGCCTTCAAAACTACCAAAATTATCCAATTATTACCAAGAACAAGGCTGTATGGACTGAAGTCTTTTGCCTTTCCCAATAGGGATAAATTAATATCATCATCATCATCAGAATTTTATTAAGTAAATGAAAAAAACACTTATCTTAATTATAATTCACTTATTTCATCGAAGTAATTTGTTGTTCTTAAATCCTAGATCTCAAATTTCGACAATCGTGATCTTTATCATATTATATTAAACTTTACTCGGGTTGAATTCAATTAATTTTCAATATACTAGGTATAGACAAAATGTAAATAACTAACTCAAACAAGTAAACCATTGATTTAACTGTTTGTTGTAAAAGCATTTAACGAATATCAAAGTGATAAAACATTTAAAACGGGACAAAGAAATCAGAATATTAAATGAAGACAAAAGCTCAATTTTCTTAGACTCGGATTCCGAGACGAGATGTGTTGCGAAGATAAGGAATACTAGACGGCAATCATGATTTAATTCTGTTTTATAAATATATTTTTGAAATTATACTTCTTTTGGCGCATTAGGGAAAAATGATGAGAGTAAATTTAGACGATGCGTGCGAACACCGCCACTAAAAACCGACACCCTGAAGTTAGCATAGTCAACATTTTAAAATATAAAATGTCCATTCCTTTAATTATGTAGATTTTTTTGTGATATTTAAATAAACTTTATTTAACTATATAATGCGTTATAATAAAACTTTCAATGTATTAAATACCTTTTTTTATATTGTTAGTGTCGTTTTCTACAAACAAAACAAAATTGATGAAAAGATTTTTATCTTGTTACGCCAAAGAAGTATAACTTCTAACGCGTGTACATAAGTACAGACACATATTTTTTTTTAATTAACTGCTAAAGTGCTATTTATCTCTTATAAAGCTTGACAAATATGTCCATTTTTTAATTATTGAAATTCATATGCTAATGAAAACGCTAATCGCTATGCTAACGATCTATCGTGGAAATTAAAGCTAAATCTTCGCACTTTTTTATTGTAATGTTTCATATACGCGGTTATTTATAGCTAACTTGATGTATACTATACCGCTAACCAACATCCTTAAAGTATCTTTAATCTTAGCTTAATTTAAAGAATATTCTTGTTAACGCCTAGCCTGACACCGCGACGTGTTGGGTTAACAAAAATAGAAACAAAGAAATGCAATTTGTGGTCCGAGGATCGAACCCACGACCTCAGGAATATGAGTCGCACGCTGACGCCACTAGGCCAACATCATATACCGTACTTGTTTATAGGCGTGAATTTAATGTATTAATTTAACATGAAAGCTCAACACTTCAATCGGCTTTTAGTAAGTTTTAGTAGGCGTTGAAACTAAAGTTTTACCTCGTCTTAGTAGTAATTATAATGAAAACCAATCCAGTACTTTATTACGCGTTGCCAATGCCAGTTTCTAGCACGTAGGAAATGAAATTCCGACGCGGTCAAATAATACCGACCTGCGCTCAAGGGAAATTTAATTTAGACAGAAAACGATGGCTTTGACAAAACACGATCATAATTTCCGTTTATTTGTTAAAGGAAATCTCTCAGGACAAATAATTAATAGGCAAAAATGCTTATTCAAGTTCACACAGTTTCTTAATACATAAAAAAACAATATATTACAATAAGAAATAAAGAGATATATAATAATTTTGGTTTCCACAATAGTTTTGAGAAAATCCACCTTAAACCGCTGATCCTACGGCTCCGTAGGGCTGGCTCCGCCTTTCATCTTTGGTCATTTGTTGGGACATGACTTAATATATTCACTATTTATGTAATCCGGGGATACTACTTATGGGATATATCTCGATTTATTGGTCAAATTCTACGAATAATAATAAATGAAAACATAATATAACTCTACTTTCTTATTTCTTTTTCGTAATTAATAATGAAATGCTTATAATTTGACGAACTATTTATAGTAGCTTCTTAGGCTGGCAAAGCACTCGCCAGCCCTCTAGCATGGAGAGTGTCCATGGGCGGCGGTATCACTTAAAATCAGATGAGCCTCTTTCTTCTATAAAAAAAATAGTTTGCAAATGTCATTGCCTATCCACAACTGATCCCTCACAAACTAATATGCATTTTAATAAATGCACAATGCTTCTCAATATGATAAATTTGTGGACCAACATACACACTTAAAAATAACGCACGCGTGCTTAAAACTCAACTATCACATACATACAGATCAAACCTATAGCCTCTTTTTGAACCCCGTTAAAAATAGTCCCAATAATTAGATATTTATTTATATTATCACGCCTTTGCCCAAAAGTGGTAGGCAGAGACCACGTATCTCCACTTGCTACGGTACTGACATACGTATCTCGCTTAAAATGAAATGAAAAAATAAAATATGTTTATAATGGAATATAAAATACAGGTATCACTTATTCCACGTCATTAAATTTCAATCGGTAGACATCCCTACTCATCGGCAAAGAAGACAGAGGGTGTAGGTCGAGAGAAAAAGCCGGCGTAAAAAACTCTCGGTACTCTTTTAAAATAGCAAATCATCAAACAACACTTATTTTAAAACAAATATCGCAAATTAATTAGAACCAGCCTGTCTAGCACTAGTCCAAGGCCCTTATCAACTTGATAATCGTTAACTTTATAGTAAGCCTTTTTACACAGCTTTTCTTTAATACATTTCTTCATCCACTTTCACCATGCATACTCGTAGTTGATACTTGTAATACCGAAAATCTATTTTCAATCAGACCATTGATTATAAAGAGCTCGTTGTGTAATTACATTCATTAGTTTAATTGCTACATACGGGTGGCCCATCCCCCTTTTGATCACATTAACAGCTTTTATTTTATTGTTTGTTGATGTTGGTATCGGTGACAAATTTGGGCTTCAATATTTAAAGTTCTAATAAACAATTGTTTAAGACCTTCCTTATGTGCGCTGTTATTATACTACGTTATAACATTTGAATTATTATAAAATTCATTAATCTATTTATTACTGAAATACATACATATGTTTTTTTTTATAAAACACATAATACACAATAACGCTACTTAACTCACTCTGTCAAAACATAAATATGTCGATAGTGTCCGAGACACCATTAGGCGCAACGTCTTTGATAACGAGGATCTGTGAAACAGAATGGTTCTGGCTCTTGGTATCGCATATAACCTAGGCCTTCGCCTATCCCATAGGTACAAAGAAACCCAGTTCATGGAGCACACTTGGGTTGCACACTTTCATTTTCAATTTAAAATTCTGTCACAAGGTTATTGCCAATTCTTCTCTTCCTCTACCCTTGTTTTGAGAACTGGCAGTAAATGAAAAATTAGAAACATTTAATGTATGTATATTTCTTTTTTGACGGTCATAAGTGTACATTGTGTTGCCTTTATGAATAAATGATTTTTAACTTTTGACTTTTGTCCATTTGCGATGTTGACTGTTTGAAAATGTTCGATTTCACAGTTTTTATTCGAATATTTTATTTTGAAAATTCAAATAAAAACTGATGTTTCGTATAAATATTTTAATGGTTTTTTAGTCGGTACAAATTATATACCTATAATATGTTTATTTGTTATCACTTTCACGGGCATCATCATCACAAAGTGTTGTTCACCAACTATACCACTTCATACAACAGACACAAAACTGTCTATAACTCATTTGTAATAAGCCCTTTTCTTGCAGACGTTTCGGCGTGGTAGACAAGAGGTTCTGCGTCGAAGGTGGCTCCCGCTGCGGTAAAGGCGAAGGCCTATTTGTTTTCGCAGCTGAGGGTGCAAGGGAATTAACAGAACTCCTCAATATGTACAGCCACGAAGCACAGTCCCGACTTAGCATGGCATCCAGAAGTGGTTCAGGTGTGTATTATAGATATACTAGCTGACCCGACAAACGATTGTTTTGCCATGTATATTATTTCTAGGAAACATTTTTTTGTTCAACAAAAATAATTATCTACAATAATAAAAAATAGGAGTTGATCGTAGAGGGGTGAAAATTAGGGGTTGTATGTATGTTTTTATGTTGTATCAAAATTGTATTTCTATAAAAAAATAAAAACAAAATAATTTTAGGGTGGACACCCCTTATCACTTAGGGGTTATAGAGATAGATAGAAGCCAATTCTCAGACTTACTGAATATGCATAAAAAATTTCATAAGAATCGGTCGAGCCGTTTCGAAGGAGTATGGGAACGAACATTGTGACACGAGAATTGTATAGAGAAGATATTATATTATTTAATTAATATATATATATGTATATGGTATACATATATTTAGTTCAAATGTGACTTATGTTCGTTAAAATTAACGATGTATGCGGTATAATAATTGTTTAAAAGACAAAACGTTACAGAATTTATTCATTGATTTTTGAAACATCCTTATAATATACATGTTTTCATTACAGTCTTAGAAAAGCGGTATTCCGATACGAGCTCATGCATGGACGACTGTTTTAATCAGTCTATGCGCTCTGTGTCTCCGTCGTGGGCTGGTCCTTCGAGCCAGACTATGCATTGTCTATCTGGACACCTGGATCTCGACTCAAGTATGGAAGAAGATAAGTTCCGGAGACCGACGTCCTTACCCAGGTGCTCCAGTTGTGTTGGCAAGATCAGTCATTTAGCGAGGTATGCAAGCGCTTTATTATATCAGATAAAATCCTATTAAATTACTGTCGTGTTGGCTTTGGTAACAAATTTTTTCTCAACTGTTTCAGGTCATCAACAATAAATACACCAGGTTCCATGATGTCTCCCGTCTGGACCATGGATAATATTATGGAGAAACGTTCGGATTCGGACCGGGCATCGATTTACTCTCGTTCAAGTGGCAGTGCCTCTGAGTATTCAGTGCCACGCTGCCTTTTGGACAAAAGCTTCGATTCAAAACGTGGAAGCCCAGTTGCTTGTTGTACACCAATGGTACCTGTGAAAACTGGGAACTCCTGCCAATGCTGGCAACTGCCTAAGCCGTGCTGCTGCCGAAAGAAAACTTTCAACGGACCATACGAGAACTACGATGTACCAAAGACCCCTATGCCGTTAATACAGGTATATTTCTAACTTCTTTAGAACAAAACGATTACATCGATCTTTATCAAGCTGTAACTCACTTTTCGAACTCACACAGCGGTTTTTAGAGCGGCGGTCGCGCTCAAATCAATCGTAAAGCAATCATTCTATGATTTGGCATTCTGATAAGGTGTAGGCTTGTAGTTTATTGTTTATCAGAATGCCGATGCGAAAACCGCTGTGAGAGTTCGAAAAGTGAGTTACAGAATCGCAAGGCTGCTCTTTTAATATAAATAATGAATTAAATTTTATTAAATCAACATAAAACTATTTATTTATTTATGACCCAGAAATCAAAACATGTTAAACATAAAATCAAGTGACATTTATAGTTGTCGTTGTTGTTTAAATTTATAAGTTTTTTAATTGGCAGGAACACCCAGCAGATGTTCACGCTGATGCGGCAAGCTTATACGATACACCAAAGAAACTTAAGTGTCTTATTGGACAAACATGCGGTTGCAACCATAACGAAACCAAAAACGACGATAACCAAAACCCTGTAGAGTCTTGTGATAGCGCTAACGATCATTCCAATTATGTCAATGTCACTCCAGCGAAACCACAGATTGATCTTTCGAATTATGCAAACATAGATAGAGCCACGTTGGATGAATTTGAAAATTCACTTCGAATTTTACGAAGCGCAGGATTCAGCCAGGAAGAATTAGACGCGCTAGAAGACATACCCGAACATGACAACACTCACACAACCGACTGTTGTACTGATCACTTAAATTACATGCATATGGAGCCATTAGAAAACAGCTCATCCAGTAATAGCAAGAATCTTTCAGACAATATTAGCAGAATTAGTCACGTATCAGACCCAACGCACTCAGAAACAGATAACACAATAAGCACTAGGCGTTCTAGCTCTGCGGACTTCACTAAACGACTCGACGACGACCTCAATCCCAGCATTTGTTTCACGCCAACTGTCATCCGGCGAACGTCTAAAACAAACCGAATCAACGAAGGCATTCCAGTTAAAGATGATTTCAAAGTTCCTGAACCGAAAACCGAAAACATTTTAGTCGCACGTTTCCGCGATGCAGTTAAAATTAGACGATCGTCCAGTGTTCCGAGTAAATCGGATAAAAATAGGGATTCGTCCAGTTCAAACGATTCCGGAGTATCCACCGGATCGCTGAAGCACCACAGGGGTGATTTTAATGAGTTTGAGATGCCCGTAACTAATTCGAGGTCCTCGAAGAATCACATGAGAAATAAACAGTTCAGGGCCACATTGACGCCCGTGCACGCGTCCTTTGTGAAGTCGAGTTCATCGGATCCTCTGAAGAATTTGACCTTTCAATTCGAGGAAGTTGCAACTATGGCCAAATCCAACTCTTGTGACGTCGACACCTTAACGAGGCGGAAGAAAAGAAATGGTAGGTTTTTAAAGCTTGTTCAATACAAAATGACTTACAAATGTGAGCAGTTCTCCTGGCGACCGTAGCTCTGGTTAGACATTTCCAAGTTCATTTTTGTGTCCGATTTACTGGTCTTCTTTCTTTACTTTGAAAAAAGACTTTAATAATATGTACTGTACTGTATGTGCATAAAAAGATTTTAATAATATGTACTTAATTAATATTACAGGTGACACAGATTCAACAGCACGTCACAGTCAAATGACGAACAAAAGCACATCGAGCGGAGCATCTGACACTTCAGATTACATGGAGTCACTCTCTGTCAGCTCTTTCTCTTCTTGCGACGTATCTGCTGATCGCCATTTAACAAGACCGCGTTCAGGAAAGGAATACGCGAGCATCGACCGCGCCGTCTTAGCAAGCGTCTGTGACAATTGACAGAGACAACTGACAATTATTGAATCAAGGAATTACTGTTGAGAGATGACATGCATGTGAAACAGAAAATAAAGCGTATTTGTGTCTCTTTCTTTAAGTCTGAATCCTAGAATCGCAAAACAAAAGACAAATATTTCATAGAGTATATTTTTTTGTAGCTGAAACGTCTAAAGACTTACAACGGAGAAAAGGGTTGTAGTATAAGAGACAATTTCTTTTTCCAGTTGATGTGTTTGTTACTTAATCTTGCTTTTAACAATTAGTTACCTGATATAAACAATACGAAGGCATCTATTTTTATATCAATATGTATATTACATAATGTAAATAAAAAGTGTATGGTCAAAAATACATAAAGAACACCACAGTGTGTGTCAGTCTAAATGTCAGGTGTCAAAACATCACTGTCAATATGACTTATGACGTGGTCACATTTTGAGCAGGAATTACATTTCATGCGTTTATACAAGTTTGTATAAATACCCATTTATCTTAAAAATAACGTTCCTATGTACAAAATATATCAGCTAAATAGTGTAGCTCTAACGAATTTAGTTTTCAGTAGGGTGCCAAAATTTAGTTTGTAATATAATATTTAGACATCACTTCCTAACTTCCCTTACGAAATCAGTTTGTTGCATTTTACATATAAATTTTTATCATTATCATTTTGCTGATATATCTAAGTTCCCAACATTTAGACATTACAGACCAAAAACGGGTAAAACTTTTCAATTAAAAAACGCGATTTTGTTAGGATTTGGATATATTCAGTAACAATTCATTTATACATGTAATTTCAATAATTAAACTGAACCCAGTCTAACTTTAATGTTTCAATGTAATCTTAAGTAAAACTTAAAGTAGGTACTTAATTTCCGTGCCTTTGCTATGTAGCATATAATTTTGTATAAGTTACCTTCATTCATTTTAATGTTTGTCAAGTGTATAAATGTGCGGTTAATGACTAGATACATATAAAAACTATAGTTTTTTAACCAATAACATGGCAATCTTTGTCAATCAAATCTGTGTTGCGAGGCCTGTATGAAACGATAAGCAATAGTTATAAAATTAATTATGTATTACATGGATAAAATATATTAAACATACATAAACACAAGTTTAGAATTTTTATACAATGATAGCTTATAACTAGCATTTTAAAGAATTTTTCTGTTACTCTGTGCATAAAGTGACAGAATGTTGATTGTCAAAATTATCAGATAGCCTAATCTATTTCTTATTTTTTTTTTTTTTTTTTATGGCTCTGGCACGATTTGTGCATTAGCATTTCTTATTTTACATTTTTATTTCAGCTAATCAATGATATTTTAAACTTTGAAATTGATATAAAATAGTTATCCGTCCCGGAATATATAAAAATATGGTTTTAAAACAAAATCATGTCTATTTCCCAACAATTTTAATGATTTTGTCTAGTCATTAGTAAAATGGCGGTCATTATAATCATCTTAAAATGTATAACAATTGTTTGATAATAATTCTGGTAACTTTTACCAAGAAGAGTAATATAAAATCAAAATTCTAAATTATTACTTTAATTTATTAACAAAATATTTTTTTTCTAAAACAAATGTCATCTGATCAAATTTATTTTTAAAATGGCCGCCATACTTTTGGTTTCGGTATTTGCACGTTTTGGTGTTTTTATTTATTTAAGGTGTTATGTAAAAAGGCATTCTAAACTTTACGTTGCTATTGTATTTTAAAGTTTGTAGTTTATACGCCACTGAAGCGAAATATAGTGCATTTTCATGAGTTTCGTCTTTTATTTATCAAATTACTAATTTAGTAGACATTCCTAAAATTCCCAGCACCGTTTTAACGAAAGTTCATCTGTATCTTGTCATTACAGCGTAAACAGAATTAAACGATTAGAAGAAGTAGTATATTTAAAGAATATACACTGTATGTTAACCAGTTAACCCAGAACATTAAGTTCTTCTTGCTTATGAAGTATTTCGTCTCTTTCTTTCAAAAACTGTCACTGTCAGCGTGCTGTCAAGTGTCAGCTAAAGACAAACATTTTGTTCATAGCCTGTGCTTATTATCAAGATCGAAAGACTAGGCGGTATGTTCGAAAGACTAGCCTGCGCCATGGGCGAAAAGAAAAAAATTATTATCAAGAAAATAGTTTTATTAAATACTGAAATAATACCAATATTTCAAATTGCCCACCACAATCTTCGGTAGTATAGTGGTAAGTATCCCCGCCTGTCACGCGGGAGACCGGGGTTCGATTCCCCGCCGGAGAGACCTTTTTTAAATGTATATTATAATGTTACAGCTAAATACTTGTTTTATTTATTTTTAATATAAAGAATAACTAATATGTAGAAATTTATCAACAACGTATCAGGCTTGTGGCACGTTGCGGTATTAAATGTCTTACTGGAGGCAGACGAGGTAATCCGGCCTAGTCCTAAGTGTCTCTTGGGATTTATGTCCGGCAGATTGCCTATTTACTATTATACAAATTAGGTATACACAAAAGCACAGTGTAACAGAATATATAACCTTTTTGTGGTAAGGAATAATTTTATTAAGAAATATTACAAGAGCTGAATATGACGCAATCATAATTGTAAATTATTACATATATGTATATATTTTTACTTTATACTATGCAGGCTTTATCAAGAATATACATGGCATACTTATGATAAAGGGAAGAAAGCTGGCCGTAAATTAAGCATGTCAAACGAACAAATATAAATAGTTTCCCATTTATACTTATATTTTGATTTCAACAAGAGAAAACTGGCATATTAATTTATTTATAAAAGTTTCCCAACGTTCGGCACACTGATTTATACATTGGTACAAGAAAAATAAAATACAATATACAAATTAATGAGACTAAACACTTATAGGAAAACATAACATACACGAAAGATTATAACAAATTTATCAATTATAAAAACTAAACCAAAATTGGTTTTAAAGTGTCAGAGGAGCAACTATGGATATCCAGACCTAGCTCGTTTATCAGAATGCTCAATCTGGATATTGGTAAGTTGTAGCCAAAACGCGTTCTTCTAAAAGACAGTAAGTAGAAAGTACATTACTCCTTTAATCAAAATCGATTTTTTAATGTAATAGGAGGAAACCGGGTAGAGGCTCACCTGATGTTAAGTGATCGCCGCCCATGGATTGGCAGAAGGCTCGCAAGTGCGTTGCCGGCCCTTTAAAACGTGTGTCTGGAAGAACCTACTGGTATCAAACTGGTCACTTGATATCAAATTGGATTAATTAATAATATTGGAGTATTTAAATATTGCGTTCTCGTCTTAAATGTAATGAAAGTATTTTTGGAATCCTTTTAAAACCAATACACTTTCAGATATAAAAGCTTGCGATAACATTTGTGACATTGAGCTCTTGCGGGGAAAATGATAAGGTGCATTAAGAAAATTGCAATCCGTGCCACGTCCTGATAAGTCGCCCCTCATTTTGACTTTTATTTATTGCTTGCTCCCGGTTTAAAAATGAAATGTTTATGTAATTTCTATACGTATAGTCCGGGAGGTAGCTTTGCATTTTCGGGCTGTTTTTTCACCCCACCTTTTTCCCTCCTTCCCCATTTTTCCCCAAAAATTCCTTATTCCCAAGCAGGCGGCCCGGCGGCCCCCGGGGGGGTTTTGGGGGGTGGGGGTGGGGGGGGAGTTAAAAAAAAAAAAATTTTTTTTTTTCCCCCCCCCCCCCCTCTTTCCTTTTTTTTTTTTTTTTTTTTTTTTTTTAAAATTTCCCCCTGCGGGGTGGGGGGGGGGGGTTTGTTCGCCCCCCCCCCCCCCCCCTTTTTTTTTTTTTTTTTTTTTTCCCTTTTTTTTTGGGCGGGGGTTGTTTTTTTTTTTTTTTTTTTTTTTTTTTTTTTCTCCCCCCCCCCCCCCCCCCTTGTTGGGGGGGGGGGGCCCCCCCCCCCCCCCCGCCCGGCTCTGGTTTTTTTTTTTTTTTTTTTCTCCCTCCCCCTTTTCTTTTTTTTTTTTTTTTTTTTTTTTTTTTCTTTCCCCCCCCCCCCCCCCTTTTTTTTTTTTTTTTATATATCCCCCCCTCCTTTCTTTTTTTTCTTCTCTCCCCCCCCCCCCCCCCCCCCCCCCCCCCCCCCCCCCCCCCCCCCCCCCCCCCCCCCCCCCCCCCCCCCCCCCCCCCCCCCCCCCCCCCCCCCCCCCCCCCCCCCCCCCCTTCCTTCCTCTTTTTTTCCCCCCCCCCCCCCCCCCCCCCCCCCCCCCCCCCCCCCCCCCCCCCCCCCCCCCCCCCCCCCCCCCCCCCCCCCCCCCCTCCCCTCTCTCTTCCCCCCCCCTCTCCCCCCCCCCCCCCCCCCCCTTCCTCTCTTCTCCTCCCCCCCCCCCCCCCCCCCCCCCCCCCCCTTTGTTTTTTTTTTTTTTTTTGTGTGCCCGGCCTGCCGGTCGCGCCCGCGGCGCGCGCGCCGCGCCCCCCCCCGGCCGGCCC